TTTTTTTTACAATAACAAAAACTAACAGAGAAACTAATCACCGGGATAGTTGTGTTTATATACTCCTTAAATTGTCTAACAATCAATAAAGTTGAGAGCAGTATCTAGAGTTTACCTGAAATGGTTTGCATGTCAAATCAACACTTCGAATCACAGTCTACTACTAGGATGTATATGCAAACAACTTGACGCGTTGGTAGATGCTTAAAATTATAATGCCAAGGTCATTGCATACTTCAGTTACCCATGAATACTGGTTGTGTTTTTAGTCAAATGATTATGAAATTTTAGCAATGATTAACATGCGCTGTTGGTCACAGTGCCATTAGTAAAAAAAAACTTCATTCCAATTCTTCTATTTATATGAATCGATTTGCTGGTAAATTTTCGAGACACTGGAATTAATTTATTGTAATCTCTTGATCAAATAAAACCAATATCATCTTTTGTTAGCGGTATCGAAGTTAATTTTTTCAGAAAATGACTTAGATGTGCCTACATCTTTAAGTTAATCTTATTCTGTGAGTGAAATTAGGGGAATTCTAAATGTTAAATAAAGCCTCGTTATTTGTAGATACCTTAGGCTAGATACGCAAGGCCAGAACAGTATCCAATCTGAACAGACGACCTTACAAAATAACCTATCGTAGTAATTACTGCTTACTTTGGTTAGTGCTAATGATTTTCTCTAGTTGATGATTAATGATCAATCTGTTATGGCAATAGAAATGAATAACCTTAAGTACATCATTGATTCGTAGCTACGATGTCCACTTAAAAAGAATTGATCGTTCCCGACTGACAGTTTGCATTACTGTAATACAAGTGAAAAATGTATTACCTAAACAGTTTTTGAACCAGAACACTTCAAACACTCTTACATCAGGCAGTTATCGCGCACATTTAATATTGCCTTTGATATTAAAATGATCATGCTTGTAATTATTATTTTCAAAATATAGAAACATATATAGTATACTATCATTCAGCTTGGTAAATTTATATCAGGTAAACTTTTCAAATGTCATCATTTTTCAAAATTACTTCTACACATTACATAATATAACTGCTCGTCAATTGATATGTTTACCTTAGTCGGTAAACAAAAAGCGAAGACAAATGATCCAGTGACAAGACAGGCTATTCTAATCCGAGTTCCAATGCCCCACTAAGTAGATGAAGAAGCACTGATATGGCGTAGAAAGTGTATTCTACAAGTACCCAGAAAAAATGAGGTCTACAAGCACACAAATCGAGTTTATTCATACATCATAGGAACATTCTTGAGAGAGCCACAAAAATTGCGTAGTAAAAAATCATACATCAACCAATGGAAGTCAATGATTTTCCGGCTGGGAAATGCGATCTCAGAGTCAACTGATCAGCCCATGCTCGAAAATATAAAATCCAAAATTAGGACCTTTATCAAGTGAGTTCTGGGGATCTAACGTCCCCAACATTAAGTTCGATTGTCAGCGGCTCGTGACGGGTGGAAAGTATCGCCAAATTGAAAATATCTATGGACAACGATCCGGTTGATGACCCTTGAGTAAAAATATCATCAGAAATGTGATTAAAGTACAGTGCAGTTTACTAAGCATGACAATACGTAGGACTATCTGTTGTATACGAGGATTTAACTAGCCATTATTCTACTGTGCTATTGATGATATGTAGAATACCTTAAAGCCAAGTTTAATTCAATCTACATGTCTTGAACACCTTTTTGGTTAGTCATTTAAGAGAGCTGGTGGAACTAAAGGTGAAGAGGAATTGCAACTTTGAAGCCTCTGATAGACAGACGACCACTTTACTGTATAATACATGTTTTTATGATTGAAATATTTTTCTGCAATCTACACATAGCTTACATAAAAACGAATTTAAATACAGTTTTGATCAGTTCAAGTAAAACCAGACATAAGATGAGAAATATTACTCTATAAGTTTGTTGTTGAATGTAGGAGAAACCAGTGCTGTACTCATCATTTACAACGCTTCTATACATTGGCCTAATTGTACATTTACATCTTTTGCATTCATTTTTCAATGAAGCCTTGCAACATATTTGGAAAGTTTTATTTGTAATTAGGAATAATAATTTTATGGAATTTTTCTATTCTGTTGGTCACAAGAAATTATATATAAGTTATATAAAATATGACGTCATTCACACTATTACTGAAGATGAACTTTGACAGATTTTTATTGCGAGTAAAATTTAAGTCCATTGTCTTTCTTTTAATCGACCACCCTGGCATAAATTGAATACAATAGATTGTAGCAATTTAAAATAATACTATTAAATTTCCAAAAATATTGATTGTTTTTTTGTTATGATACAATTGTATACATGCTATGCTCCTTAAGAAAATGATTTAATCCGATTTAAGAGGAACAGATGCGAAAACAATTTTCGGATAAATTATGTAACAGCTCAGTTTGTAATGACGCATAGATGAGAAAATGAAAGTATTTAACAAAGTAAGATAAATATCATTTATGCTCGACAAGAGTGAGGAAAGTCCACTTGGAATTTCATTATTAGGTGATTAGTTTCATTTCTTAAATATCTACAGGATGCGGTAAATCATAATAATCTGCAACGTGATTTACTAAAATATTATATCACAGATTCTATCCTATGGATGTTTCTATATCCCAGCTTAATGTGAATAGAATAAGGATGCCCTACTGCTAGGAAACGTTATTGTTTGAAAATAAAAATATGCTTTTGCTCTACAAGTATACCATTTTAGTGACTACTTAAGTTCGTTAAAAAACACGTTTAAACATCTATAATTCTAATCAACAGCACATAGTTTTATAGTTTGAGATAAGTATTCTTGTGGAAATTACCATTGTTTACTCAAAATACTTTAACACACTAAGTAAAACCCAATAAGGATTATTCGTCTATTTGTACAATGGTCAATATTCGACTAGAAGTGATGATTGAATTATTTTTTCTCTCTTTTTGAATATAGGGTAACACTAAATAAGAGACATTATAGGTTCATTATTTAACTAATAAATTAAACACGTACACACTCAAGAATATAAAAGCAAATATTAATACATATAAAATATACTAGAATATATATATATAAGTAATAATCTCTATTTCAAGGAACACAAGAAACAAAAAAATCATGGAAAAATAAAGATTCTTTTTTGCATTTTTGTTTAAATCTGAAATATTCTAACAAAAAAAAAAAGAAGCCCCATCATTGTGCAATGTTGAGATGTGTGTGTATGTGTGCAAAAGTACAACACAGTTTGTGTAAGTGAAGTTTATTTCTCGCTCATCAATTTAACATTGTAGTAGTAGTCTATAGGTGATTAGAAATCTTGACAATATATATTCATTAGCATCATTATTTTAAGAGTAATAATGTACACAAACTAATAATAAAAGATTTTATTTTTCAATTAATATAGATGGTAATTGTCTAAACTGGTTCTCTTTTATTTCATGTGATCGATAATAATAATAATAATGATGATGAAATTGACTTCAAATCGCGCAATGATCGTGAACAAACCAAAGAAAAATTATGTCAAGTTATACAGAGAGAAAAAAAGAAAAAAAACAATCATGAAATTCATACTGATCTTTAATCATTGACAAAAAGAAGAAGAAGGAAGTCATCTTCTACATGGATTACTTATTTCTGTTTGTATTTCTGAATATTGCTGTATGCACACAAGTACGTATGTATGTATAAGGTATTTTAAAACAACAAGAAGAAAAAAATTACAGGTTACAAACATACACAAATACACCCCGCCACAGATTAGAAAGTTCAACAGGACGAATACAATACAATACAATACAATACAATAATAGTGAATAACAATAATATCATCAATAAATAATAATAATAATAATGATCATTAATAGTGAAAGCCACAATCTGCATCTATGAATAGTGAGAAATCTGTTTGGGGAAAGAGAAAAAGAAATATATATTGTCTATGCACAAAAGCGCATAGACAATAAATATGCACTTATACACACAAATAGATGATATTAAATATTTATAATATAAACAAGGGAAAAGGAAGAAAGTGATAATAATCTCAATTGAAAGTTGACAGTAGTAAATATAGTGGCGCTTGTTTATTGCAAAATAAAAATGAAATGAAATCAAAGAATAAACCAAAACAATATTAGTAATAATAGTAGTAATAATAATAATAACATAATTTCAATAATAATAGAAGATCCAATACAGCCCAATTGAGAGAATCAAATCACAACTTAAAAATTATCAAAGAGAAGAAAAAAAAACAAACCTAAAAGCAAATTTTCTCTGAATAATGAATGTTATTTTATTCACAATTTTTTAATTGTCATAATTAATTTTCAAAAGCACTATTCTCAATTCAATGAAATTTTACTTATTTAATAAACCAAATGAATTACAGCGATAATAATAATAATAATAATAATAATAATAAACAATAAATTATGGGAAGTTTGGGTTGGGGGTCAGGCAAAGCAACGAAAAAAAAAAGAAAGAAAATTTAACTAAAAATAAGAAGAGAAAAAAATATATAAATAAATATGTATATCTTATCCACGATAATAATAATAATAATACACAGAATAGGAATATTATGCCTTTTTTTGCTTTTTATATTATCAAATAGTGCAGCACAACAATGGATAGAATAAAAGAGCATAGACAAACTAATCATACAAAAGAAATACAAGATAAAGAATATATATATATATATATATATTTAGTGTGTGTGTGTGTGTGTTTAAATAAATTAACAAGTAACATTTAAATGAGCGAAGAAAACACAATATAATCTAACATCTGATTTATATAATATATATATATATATATATATATATATATATATATATATATATATATGTATGAATAATCTGAGTACAATGTAATCTTGGTTAATCTAGATTTTACTTTTGAATCAAGAATCAAGAAGTATCTATGTGAATAATTCAATCTATCGATCAGAACATTTTCTCATATTCTCTCTAATTGAATTCTTCTTTTGTTTTGATTTGTTTTGTTTTATAATAAATAAATTTTTTTAAAAAAAAAGGAAGGGAGCGGCAATAATCATCATCTTCAAAAAAAAATAATGTAACAAAACAAACGAAAAAAAATTTACTCCAAATATGACATGAAAATAATTCAAGAGGTGAAATAAGGCAACAGTTGATGGATAGATACTGCACACACACACACACACGCAGACAGAGAGGAGGATGGAAGGAGATGGCGTTGGAAATCATCCCCGAACAATATTATCAACACATAATACCGTTATTATTATTATCATTATTAATAATAATAATAACAGTAATAGTATTTCATATCCAACTTTATATAATCTGATACAGGGCAAGAAATCAACACCTCTTTAACAAATTATAATATCGACAAATAAGTATATCTGTATCATGTCAGAGTTGATATTTATCAAGTCAGATAGTGAAAACTGCCATCATAAAGTAATTGTATATAATAATAATAACAAGCTAGGGATTCATTTAATATAATGACATTATCCTCTACCAAAATAAGAATATGCCAAACCGAAATGAATAGAATTGAAGTATAACTGATCAATGATTTTGCAGGAATACACTTGACTGAGGAGTTCTTGGAAGGTTATGTGGATAGCATTCATATGCAGAATTAGGCTGAAAAACAAATGAGAAAATAATTGGTTGAATTTAAGCTGGAAAAGATTGTGATAAGCCATGGACGGGTGCAATACTAGAAACCATAGAGAAAACAATTATGTAGAATGCACAAACCGCTTCAATGTAATCATTAAAAAACAGGGTCATCAATAATAAGTCGAATAATGAAGAGAAACGAATGGCAGTGTAATTTATGCTAGGAATTGAAATAATTTACTAAGAAAATGGTCAATACATTATTCAGACAAAAGAAACAAATGCAAAATAAACCTGGAGGCACTGAAAGACGGCCGTTTCTTCATGGTATGGGACTCATCATCAGTGCGCATCCACGACTCCTGCACCTCGCAGGATTCGAACACGGGACCTTAGGTCTTGCGCGAACGCCTAACCTCTGGACCACTGCGCCGGCATCTAACAGTGTTAATTTCTAACTCTGATTGATCTAGGGATTTTTCGCGACCTCACCCGTTTGTCTTTGGTAGTTACTGCCTACAAACGACAGAACTGAACTCCACTGATCACGTCCTTCTCACTACAACTCCGAGAATTTCCTCACGAAGCTAGTCACTTGTAAGCGATAAAAGTGGTGGGTCTACGAAGTGGCGTTGTTTTATGAAAGACTGATATCTATTACGACCCATTGGCTGTGGTTCCTGATGACTGCTCAATTCGGTTGTTATAGATGTTACGCCTCAGAAGAGAAACCAATCCCAATTCTGTTATGATTTTCGACTACATTCCTCATAAACCTAGTACACACCTTCTTTGTTGGAAGAAATCACGCAAGTGTTTTTGTCTTAAGTGGACTAAATACGGTTTTCTGTTTATTTATTTTTAGATTATACGACCTATTTTTCTTTCATTTATTTTTGATATTTACATTTTATTTCAGGTGGATCACTGTTTTTGAGCTCAGTAAAATCATGAGTCATGAGAAAATAAATGAAATATGTTAACCCAACAAATTTACGACTTTTCTCTAGTAGATCTGATTTCTTTAAACTCTGTACAGATATAAACAAAATTACAATTCAAATTCATATAGCTTGAATTCGACAGTGACCCCATTATCACTTGAATTACGGTCGATAGTTGTGTATAATTATGGACTACTGAAAATTCCAGAAATCACTATGCAAAAACTCAACTAGACAGTATTCTTTTCATGGATAGAAAAGTGAATTAGTGACTTGGAGATAAGGCTACAACAGAAAAAAAACAAATTATGATGTTTAGTGTGATTGTGAAGAGAACTGGAAAAGGTTTTGAAGAACAGGCCACTATCGCCCAACTAAACCATATTTTACTATGAAGTCACGATATCATCTAAATAAATGACAGTACGAGGAATAGAGTCAGTCGGTTATTCAGTGACAACGTAGAACTTCGTACGCACGTACGCACATCACTTCACATAGCAATACCACACCACATTATCACAGAGACGCAATTATCAGTTCAAACATTATGGTGGTAGAGGTAGTAGAGCTGTAATCGGAGAGATAAGAGTTCGAGGATATTATTCAAGAAGTAGAATATAGTGAAATAGACTTAAAAAGAGAAAGATAAAGATTATAAGGAATTATGAAAGTTAGGATTTGCGAGAACACAAAAAACTGCTGCACAGTACACTCGACCTTTGGTTAGCGAACGAAATCTCGCCTACGCCATAAGTGACGCAAGTTGGTAAAAGCCAATTGAGCTTTCTGTATTCGTGTTGAGAATTCGTCAGTCACCAGGCCATCAGCGCTGATGAGACTCCCCATATAAATGAAATGGTCGACAAGCTCAACTACTTCGCTCCCTAACACTAGTTCAGGTGCCGACGCAAGGTTATCGTGTAGCAGCACTTTGCTTTTCGAGGGGGGAAACCGCATCCTGAACATGCTTGCATTGTCTCTTAGGGTAGTCAGAGGTCTCTGCATTTTGTCAGCGTCTTCACCAAGTAGAACTCTGTAGTCGACATATTATAAATCAACCAGTGAATCTACTGGAAGGTCCACTCCTGAAGAGTCCGACGAGGAAATTGTTATCTCTAAAGGCAAGTCTATGACAAAGTTAAACAGGAACGGAGAGGCTGGACAGCCCTGACAGACACAACTTGAAGTAAAGAATTCCGATGACAGTTCACCATAAGCTCTAACTCGACCTGTAGTGTTCGAGTAGAGAGCTTTTATAAAGTTAATGCACTTCTCTAGTACATGTTTCAATGACACTGCCACAGAGCCTCACGATCTATTGAGTCAAATGCCGTCTTGAGGTCTAGGAAGACAACTATTGTCGGACGCCTAAATGTATGTCTGTCTTACAGGATCTGTCATAGTGTGAAAGTGTGGCCAATACAGCTATGTCCAGGTCTGAAACCAGCCTGGTTTTCTCTAGTCTGCTCTTCACGAACTCTAGTTACGTGTCAAAGTATTATTGAGGCTAACAATTTAGACACTATATTGGTTAAACTGATTCCTCTGTCAATGTCACTAGAGGACTATTGTCCTATCTCATAAACTTAGCAATCAGGGATTGAGAACAGTTGGATGGATGTTCTGTCCGCCGATCCAATCTCCTGGATTGAGAGTTAATAATAACACCATCCGTTCCCAAAATAGACTCACTTATATTCGGATTGCAAAAACCGGTTTCCTCGATAAGTCTGAACATATGCCTACTGTTTCGCATAGTTTTCGCTACCCACCACTGTTCGCCACCGTTCGTTGGGTTTTCAGCAGCCTGCGCTTAAGGTGACTTCGCTCCTTACCGTGCTCAGAGCCAGACGAGAAGAGTTTTTAATCATCCATCAGTTCGGTAGATGCTACCAAGATTCTCCGCTTCTCCCTAACCTTAATAGCAGATATCACTGCTCTTTCCACAGCCTTCTTGATATCATTCCGGATGGGAATCGCTTACATGGTCGCCTAACTGTCTTTCTAGTTACTCCTGAAATATATTCTTAGCTATGCTATCGTTAAGTAGAACCCTAAGAGGTTTTCTTGCACCGTCTTTCCTACGTCCAGTAAGCCTCAAACAAATACGCGCTCGCACTAGAGCATGGTCTGAATCCAAACAAGTGCCCCAGAATGAGCGGCAGTCTTCAGTTGAGCCTTTCCACCGATGGCCTATAGCGATGTGAGGAGGGATACAAGACAAAAAACAACATACTTTCAAATAAAATTAACATACTCTACTATCAAAGCTTCCGTCTTGTGATGTTACCTCTTCCTCAATTCTCTCTGATGTTTGATGATCAGTAAAGCTTGATCGAGATGAACATCCTGGACGCCGAGTATCCGATTTGTTACATAATGAACCACAATCGTCGGTTCTTTCTTCTTCTTCTTCACCATGTTCTCTTTTTACATTAAGCGGGTGTCTTGATTGGACTGAATGTAATTTGGAACCGCTAAAATCAAGATCAGTTGGTGTTTCATTTTGCATCATCAACTCATGTAAATATCGACTGTCATTTGGATTTGTCTGTGCAGGATAAATTGAGTGTCGTGAGACAGATGTGGACAAGTTTGGCGTATTTCCGCTACTATTAGAGCTACGTTGATTTGCTTCATTTAATAAAAGCCATGATTGATAAACAGCTTCAAGTGACTGCAAATTTCTTAAGGAATTGGCAGATGAGGAGTGATGCAATTGTTCGCCAGATTTTAAATCACCACTAGATTCCGAATTCATTTTCTCAAGGCTCTGTATAATCATTTAATTAAAACAAGAAGTACAGATAAATTAAAAACAACCTCACCCAGTTTTTACTCGATCTATTTGTTTATTTATCTGAAAATTTAATCGTTAATATAAGTCATTGTTTGAGCAATAGTTAAAAAAATAAATACTATGAGCCTAAAAAGATGACATAGTTTGAAATTCCGAAAACCGGGTTATTAAAAATCAATAGGTAACGTGCTGAATGGACAACTAACAGGCATACAATTGTGTGCCTATATATATATGTATATAGGAATTGAATCTAAGCGATCATGAAATAACGGACAAACATAGGGTAAATGAAGTATCTGACTGTTAGATAGGCAAGCATATATGAGTGTCATGATAACTAGGTTAAGAGAAAAAACTATGTACAAGTGAATTTTACATTAAATTAAGGGAAACAAACTTTAAATAGTAGCAACGTGACCAAAATTACAACAGATTATTGGACCACAATGGGAGAGAAAACTCAGACAATGTCTGAAATGAGGACATTCAATTCAGTCAACAATAACAATAATAATAAATCAAAAAAAAGAGAGATAAAAATGAATAAAAGCAAAAATAATTTTTTAAGGTAATATCTCAATTTATCTATACAATCAGCCGAAAACCTGATTCGTGTTTAATATATTCTACAACTATGAGAAATAGCATAAGGAAAGATTTTGTGTTAGCTAGCTAGTTCCGAAAAAATTGAAATAGAAAAAACCAACGAAGTATTTTGTCTAATTTCTGCATAGATCATCCATAATACTGAGACATAGTCAGCAATGTCTGGAAACTAGTCAACTTGTTCTTTATTTTTTTTTCTTAATGTTTCTAAAATTGACGGTTGACGTAAAATATCAGCAAAAGCATCCTTACAAAACTGAAAATAAAATATGTTCCGTTAGATTGTGTAGAGTAATAAACATGTAATGTCAAGGAGGGGTAGAATGAATGAAGAGGAGAAAAAAGGATGAAGGTTGTTTCACACACCCAACACAAACAAAAAGAAAGAAAACTTTGATATCAATTGAAGGAGCTACATAAGAAGCTATGGATTTTTTACAACAAGATCAAAGAATGAAATTGTTTGAATGATTTCTAACACAGTTAATCATAATTGATGGACACTCATCCATCCTACATATGATTATTGTTACAATTGAAATTCAATTCAACTGTAAGTTGACAATTTAGTGACAAGCCATCATCATCCTATCATAGTTTACCTTTGACAATATTTCAAAGAGTAATAATAATCACTTGAATGAGATTTTAACACTACTGTATAAGGATTTAATAATTCCTTAGCCCAGTCACATAAAGCATATTACAATCAAGAAATAACCTGACACTAAAACAAAGAGCATAATAATAAAAACAATGTACCATAAAAATCACAATGAACAATTTCATACAGAGAAAAAAAAATAAATATAACAAAACCTTACCTCAATACGTTGCAAAAGAAGAGGGATTAGCTGACGTGCTATTGTATTTTCTTGTTTCAAACTTTCCATTCTTGAAACAGCTTCACGTAACTCCATAATATAACTAACTGAAAGTCGAAGTACACTACCTTTATTTCGTCGACCATCTCTACACGAAAATGGATTATTTGAAAAATAGGATAAATTATTCACACACACACACACAAAAAAAAAAAAACATTTAAAGCCTGTTTACTTATAGAAAGTGAATTATCAAACAAAACAAAAAATTAATAAGATGATTCTCTTACCATTTAAAGTCAAAACTAACCGGATGATAAATGGAAAATCCGGGAGTACTGACTAGTTTTTTTTTAAGCCTAAACATCATCCATTCAACTAAAAAAATGTATAATGACTAGCAATCTGATTATATAATGGATAGATATTTTTTTAAAAAGGTGGTCATTTTTAGTAGCTGAATAGTGTGTCCATTAAGAGCGGAGATATTAAATGAAATTCCAACAGTAAACAATGTTAATTTAAAAATATAAATGATATCTAAATTCCAAACATTCACGTATAATCGAATGTTTCTACCGAAAGGATTCAACGAAACATAAGTTATTCTTTAATTAGTCTATCCGATTCTAATTATGAATATGTTTGGGTTGAGACCAAATCATTCAAGAAGATCAATTTTTTTTAAATAAGATATGAGAAAATTGATTTCATCATCACAAACAAATTTTATCTTGAGCAGTATCAATTAATAATAGGTTGTTATCAAAACAGAGGATGATAATGACAGTAACAAAAGAGTATTCAACTAGTTCATGAAATTGGATTTGTTACGCTTTCAGTCACCGATCGAATCCTATTTTGTATGATAATAAAATATGCATTACGGGGTTGTGAAGATTGTTAAGTTGCACACTGATCGATTCATGGTTTCAAAAAATGTAACTTAACAACTCACTGGTGACTAGCTTCTTGAGGAATCTTCTCTGAGTTCTAGTGAGAAGACGTGACCAGTGAAGTTCAACCTGTTCGGGTGTAGACGGTAACAGACGTTGTGCAACTCCGTGAATTGATCAAGTTACACATTAACACCGTTAGATACCGGCTCAGGGGTCCGATGGTTAGGCGTTCGCGCACAATACCGAAGGTCCTGGGTTCGAATCCTACGGGGTGCAGGAGTTGTGGATGCGCACTGCTGAGGAGTCCCATACCAGGACAAAACGGTCGTCCAGTGCTTCCAGGTTTCTAATGGTGGTCTAACAATGATCGACTTATGGTTTCAAAAAATGGATAATAAAATAGCATTATTTTTTTACAATTCTATAACCGATTCAGTATCTATTGTTGAAGGGAGTATTATTGCAGATAATACAAAGCATCATGTTGCACAAAACTTGAAAACGATGAATGTTCTCGCTTACAGTTGAACAACAAACGCATTATATAGAAACAGAATTTTGATATATCAGTTAAAATGATAAATGAAAGTTAAAAGGAAATAACAATAAACGCATTCTAAATTGTCAAAAATGTCAGTGATAATAATAGCAAGGCTTAAAATAACGAATAACTACTGACTTACACATCGCGATACAATTCGGGCGGGAGTAAACTACTGAGATAGACAATTTGTGAATTAATATAATCTCTTCGTTTTCGTTCAACTAAGTATTGAAAAATGAAGAAGAAAAAAAGATATCATAGTTTAGATTTCTAAACATCATTGGATTCAATAAGCAAATTTATCAAGCATTTTTGAAGTGATTTCATCTAGTCCATAATGAAAAACTGAGAAAATGAAACCGCACAAACTTATGATCAAAATAAACTTTGACAGTTCACAAACAAAAACACAACCAGTGTTTTTTTTTTGACTGATCATATCATCAGTGGATTTAGAAACCAAGTTGAAAATAAAAACAACTACTAGCTCTCAGACCTTAAAAGTTAATCAATACGATCAAAGAAAAACCAACACAAATACCAGTGTATTATTGGAATTGTTAATTGGAAGATGACGCCAATTTAACATAAAATACAGAATTAACCGAACACAAAAGATCTATGAAAAGTCAGCTAATCGAGTAGATGCATAACGCCAATAATCAAGTCAGTCCTGTATGCAATCACCAACCACATCGGCCATCAACATAACCAAATGAAATCAACAACACAAGAGGCAAAAAATAATAGCATTAAAAAGTGAACACTTAACATACAAAATGTAGTTTGGGAAAAAAGTGATGAAATAAGGCCGATGAATAGTAAGAATTTCGATTTAAAATGAGTTACAGAAATACGGCTTCGGCACCACAGATTATGATCAGCTTGAAGATATCAACCAACGGAGTCTAAACCGGACGAAACAGTTCAGTTCAGTAAACAATTAATTTTATAGGCTGATGCTATAAATTTCTAAAACATTTTTTCAAGCTCAAATGCTAAATTTCTAAGTAAGTATTAGGTTCAAATTCAAACCTAGCATAAGATATAGATTGTTGTGTGTCTATTTGGGATTGAACAAATGTATGGAACATCCAAACTTATCATTTCTAACAGTTTTCATCACTGAGTTTGTTTCGAATAATAGCATGCAAAAAATCAATACAAAAATGTATAGATCACTACAATTTTACATTGATTCAAACATCTTTTTTCGATTACGTTACACTTTCATAAACTATAAAATTAGCAACGACATATTAAAAAGAAAAAAAGAGATGTGGTTCATTTATCGATATCTTCATGAAAACAATGATGAGCATCATTTGAATCGATATCTACTGAATTATTTTGCAACTGATAAATAATAAAAAACATATCAACGTTCATGTGCATTCTTGTAAACAGAATAATAATAATAATAATAATAATAATAATAATAATAATAATAGATAAAATAACAAGTCAATGGAGCCATTAAAGATTATTGTATTATGTGCACAAATATAATAAAGATAATAATCACTGAATTAAAGAAAACATCTAATATTTTATGCTTACACAAATTCTTATTACATTATGCATGACGAATAATGAAAACTTGAAATAACAAATATAGCCAAACTTTTTTTTTAAAAAAATATTAGAATTTCTTGCCAATTTCACAGAAAACAAAAAAAAGAAGAGATTAAATTTTATTTCTAATAGCTAACTGTCTTGCTCAAAGTCGATTGAGACAGAGAGAGAGAGAGAGTTTAATGAAATATTGCAAATTATAAAATTTAGTAGAATCTAAAAATTGCTTCACAACAAAATATATTTTGTCATTCTTAAATGAATAATAAAATAGCTTATTTACCAAATTATAAATGGTATTTTTCTCTGTAGAATAGCAGTGTATATTATTTGAAAGTAGATTAATTATATAATATTCGCGGTTGAAAAGTACAATTACATCAATATTTACTAAAAATAGACTAGTATAAAATTTTTTTTTAAAAAAAAGGAATTCATTTACAATTAGCTTTGAAAAACAATATACATAGCATAGTGAAAACCTAATTGATATTTATAACAACTGAGACAGTAAGCTGCAACGCAGGACTTCGTACGTAAGTACATCAGTTCAGGTTGCCATACCACATTAGCACAGAGACGCAATTGTCGATTCGAATCCCATAGTGGTAGAGATAGTAGAAGATTTATTGCTTATGGAGAGGATTAGGATTTGAAGATAATATCAAGAAGTATAATTCAGTGAGATAAGTTTAGAAAGGCAAAGGTACAGGTGTTGATGAATCCAAAAGATTAGGATTTGAGAGAACACAAAGAGTGGATTCACCTGCACCATCGCAAACGATTTTGAGCCATGTCATTCAAGGTCTCTAACCATCGGTGAATTTCGTCTCGCGGACTCCAACCACGTAGCCAACATCAGCCGACATGATTCAGTTAACTTAACAGTGACTGCATGGATTTGTGCCATGTTTTGGTTTGACTGACCCTAGCTTTCTCCCAACCTACTCATCCACCACAAAACATAGCTCGTCGAGGCAGTCATTGGTTGGGCATACGTAACACATGTCCCAACCACCTCAACTGATGAAGTTTCACTACTTCATCTATTGATTTGCCATTCTTACCTATTACTCGCTTCCTAATGGCAGCATTGCTCAGGTGTCCCACGATACACAAGCAAAGCTTTGAAGACATCTATGATCGAAGACTAGTAACCTACGAATATCTTCTATTGTTACCTGCCATGTTTCGCAACCATATAGGAGAACGGAGCGAACTACTGCACAGTACACTCGTTCTTTAGTCAGCAAACGGATATCTCGCCTACGCCATAAGTGACGCAGGTTGGCAAGAGCTAATCGAGCCTTCTCTATCCATGCTGAGATTTCGTCAGTTACCAGGCCATCAGCGCTGATGAAACTCCCAAGATAAGTAAAGCAGTCTACACGTTCGACTACTTCACTCCCTATCACTAGTTCAGGTGCTGACGCAAGCTAATCTTGAAGCAACATTTTGCATTTCAAGGGTGAGAACCGCATCCCGAATATGCTTGTGTTGTTGCTTATGGTAGTCAGAAGACTCAGCATTTTGTCAGCGTCTACACCGAATAATTTATAACATCTACAGGATATCAAGACAATTATAGTGATATTAAATCTTTATAGATACATCATATTCAAAATTGAAAATATTTTACTTCAAAGTGTTTTACCACTTGGTAGTTTATAGACGATGATAACAAATTTGTTTGTTAAGACTTTCTGAAGTTCTATACGAAATGCTTTAAGGTAAAATTTGTATTCTCTGATTCTCTTTTCCTTACTCGTGTTTTAACAATTGCATTATATTGGTAAATTTTAGACTGATCTAACTAATTAGTAAGAAAACCATAATGGCGAAAACAAAAATATTTTACACTTCAAAACAATGGTAAACTAACTTCTGTTATGACTCTCTTTTTTTGAACGTTGCTTTTGACTAACAGCTTTAGCAGGATCTTGAACTGGATGATTGGACATTACTGAAGGTGTACTGAATAGATTTGAACTTGATGAGCTGCTGTTTGGAGAACAAAAAGCTTGATGGGGTGCAGAACTAGAAGTTGTAGTGGATGAAAGTGAGGGTGCATAGATTGGTACTGGGGCAGTAGTTGGGGAATGAGAATTTGGTAAAAGCATTCCTAAACGTATATTCTGTACATCGGAAGGACAGCATCCAGATTGAGTGGAAGGACTTAATACAATAGAACGAGATTTATTTGATGTAGACGAGCTGGAATAATTGGTAGGATATGCATAATGAGAATTATTTTTCTGATGACAATCCATTAAGTCAGTAGTTGTAGGCATTGAACTAGCAGGAGAAGAGCTAACAATACCGCTATAAGTGGCAGTTGAACCTGGGATCAATGGAATTAAATGTCCGGGTTGCCCGTGAAAAGAAGAAGCTTGTGGCTGGTTGTGAACTGATGTGCTCCCAAAAGGCTGCCATGCAAAAACTGAATGTGGAGCCATATTAGGTGTTCCTTTACTGCTTGGAGCACTCGAACTGCCTTCTAAAGATGGCAGACGTTGTCCATAGTCAAACTACAGAATCGAGAGAAAAAATGAAATGATAAATACTGCGAAGCATTCTGAAAAGAAATTAATTAAGAGTGAAAAAGCAACAATCAAGTGAAGCCAGAAAATTAAGAATACCACACTGAACATTCTGTATAGGAGAACAGCATCGTAAATCAAACGATAGAATATAGCATATCAAAAGTAGGATAAGAAAACCAGACCATAACAGCTGAATATCAACCAAGTGGTATAACGGTATGATGGTAGTTTACAATTAAAGTAATCTATTTCAGGTAATAGGCATATTTGAGGACCAAGCAGTTTGAACTGAGTAATAACATTTTCATGTGAAAAACGAGATCCGTAATGTATTTTTACGGTGCCTTAAGTCAAAATAAACTTTACTTGCCTTAGATTGCAAACCAATGTGTTTACACGGTGACAGACCTATGGAGGATTATAGTATGAACAGAGGTGGTTCAAAAGTTATCGCATTCAACTTTTAGCCACTATAGTCCACGGTCGAACTCTGTTCCAACTACTTCGGTTCGGGCAACTGGGTAGCATTACTAGATCCCAGGCTCAGAGTGCAGCTCAAACCTAATTACACAAACCTCTGCCTAATAAATGGTTCGATCGAAAAAAAACTACATACCATTCAAGTGAAGATCATAATTAAGTATATTACCGAGTGAAATGGTAGATACATCTATATTATTTAGAAATAGTATTTAAATTAAGGTGTATCAACTGTATGAATATATGAACAATTCCGGTAGAATCAACAAAGCTATCTAACAAGAAAACTACTACTACAAAAATCAAAATGAATTATTTTAAATGCATATTAATTGTAAGTTAATGAATACAAACTCAAGGAATAATTAGTTATTAGGTAGATTCCTAAGTAACACAAAATAACAACCAACATTTCAATAGTTTTTGAATCAAATCAAATTCACCGTTAAATATTCGTTTTCTTTTTTTGTAAATATAATTATCACAACTGTTGGAACATTTTACGAGGTATTCTACAAGTTGGCTTTCTAGTAAAATTCAATGAAATGCAAGGAATTTTAAATTCAACATGAATCATATCAAAAGATTCTAATCGGTAACAATGAAGAATAAGCTTAAGAAAGCTTAAAAATGACTTTTATTAAGCCTATATTTAATAAAAAAAATTCCAATACATACACATTATTTAATTAACATGATATCTGATGCAAGATGACTGCGAAAACATTTTCAACAACCAACAAGAAAAATTAGTGAAAATAAAGAAACAATAATTTTTTTTAAAAAAAAATATTACATGCTGGTAATTAAAAAATAAATTGAATTAATTTGATGGGTTTTTTTTCTCTTCACTTAAAGTACACTATTTCAAGTGCATACGCGTATATATATATATATATATATATATACATACATATATATAATTGTGTGCATATGTGCGCATAAATTGTCTTGTGTAAATGCACATATATGTGTAAAAAACCTATCGATTAATTTGAACAGTAGTAAATAGTAATAGTAGTAATGATAATAATAATAATAATAATAATAATAATAATAATAATAGTGCAAATATATTTATTAATGACAATAAAAAGGATTTTTCTCATTCAAAAAGATCATACATATACACTTTGAAAAAAAATACAATTCTCTTAGTTTTTTTTTTCTAAAACGCTAGAAAAGATGATGACCATAGTAAATTAGTACTTTTAGGTATATATATATATATATATATATATATATATATATATATATATATATATAATTCGAAAGCTGGCAGCTATTATCTACTTTACGATCATTTTATGAATCATATGAGTAATATTTTGTTTTAATTTTAATATTATCAAAGAAAAAAAATGAAAGAATAGCGAGAGCATAAAGTATATTATGACAATGGAAAGTAAAAACAAGAAGAGTAGGGGAAAAGGATAAAGAAAAAAGAAAATAAAGCATTCATAGTAAATAATTTTTAATTCTGTTGGATAAACAGATACTCAATAAGAAAGTACTTGTTTAAAATTCAATATTCGATAGTGAAATGCAAATCATAAAAGTATGAGAAGAAAGTAAATTGAAATCTTGAAGATCATCCTACTATGTGTGCCATAGATTGACACTGGGTTGATCACTTTTAAGTAGTATTTTACATAAGTTTCCGTGAATAATTGGAAGTGAGAGAGTTTACGAAAGATTATTATGATTTTATTCATCTAAATTCTATTTAGAATTTTAACGAAACTTAAAATATTCAGTAGACTAAGATGAATAACAGACTATTTACAGAAGACTATTTTGTTGCTATCTTCATTGACAATATAGTAGAATTAATCATGCCACAACTTTTGTAAAATTTACACAAATCAAAAAAAGAGTTCAACTTCTTCAAATTCACAGTATTTATGGAAGAGACGAAATTTCGATCAGTAGATGTACAGAAAATAAATAAGTCAGGTTCAGGTTCGTAGGTCTTCAATGATCACTCCTAACTGATTACTATTAATAAGGGTATTAAAAATATCCTCTGAACAGTCATTTGTGCAAAAATTATACAGAATCAAATAACTGTGAAACTATTAATGAATAACAAACGTTTTAACATATCAAAACGAGTTATATGATTAAAGCGAAGTTAAGTGAGACTAACAATAAAAGCAATGAAACTATATCTGATTAGTAAATTGAAACCTTAAGTCAAGTAGTCGACATGAATAAATTCAAATCAATTCTTACGCGGACTAAAAGAAGTAAACGTTGAACAGTTGATCATTATAAATTATCTATTTGTTTTCTCCTGGTGATCGACAGGATTATAAAGACGTCAACACCTGAGAGGAAGCAAGGAACACCATGGACGGTAGGGATGCAGCTAGACGATCTGGACTTCACCGATGGTCTAGCTCTTCTATCCCACAGGTAAAAACAAATGCAAGAGAAGACGATCAGTGTAGCAGCCGCCTCAGCAGTAACAGGTCTCAACATACGTGAAAAGAAAAAGACAAGATTCTCCGATACAACACAACATGCAATAACTAAATCACATTTGATGGAGAAACGCTAGGGGATATAGAAACCTTTGCATATCTTGGGGGTATCAGTGATGAGCAAGGTGGACCTGATGCAGATATGAAGGCGTACATTGGCAAAGCAAGAGCAGCATTTCTACAATTTAACAATATCTGAAACTCAAAACTCCTGTCAACAAACACCAAAGTCAGCACTTTTAAAACAAATGTGAAGATAGTTCTACCGTATGGGGCGGAAACTTGAAGAACTACCAAAACCATCATCCAGAAGAAACAAGCGTTTATTAACAGTTGTTTACGCAAGGAAGTGGACCTGACACACAATGAGGAAAGCACCGAACTGCGTCACCAGACAAGCCCTCACTTGAAATCCTGCCGGCCAGAAGAAGAGGTAGACCGATGAATATGCTTCACCGAGAATTGGAGACCGACATGAAAAGAATGGATAGCAACTGAGAATGACTGGATAGGCGAGCCGAGGACAGAGTAGGGTGGAGAATGCTGGTCAAAGGTCCATGCTTCATTAGGCGTAACACGCGCAAGTCAATTAGCACACTAACTAATTTTCTCACTTACCATTTAGCATAGGTCTGATAAAACTACAGTGAATTGGTCGAATACATGAAAGGGCTTTATTTTATTTGAAATTCAATTACAAGAAGAATATTTCAAGAACAAGGAATGTACACATTTTTCATTATATTGACAGGAACGTGTTGATTAAAATAAGCAACAATACACAGAAGACAATACTCTATTTGGTAAACTAGAATAAGCATGAAATGTACGTCGTTTATAGAATTATATGAAGCTACACCTTATGGGAACAGAACATTGAACCTCTACATTAAGAATCATGAATTTTATCCGACTTCAGGAACAGTGACTCGAGCAATAATAACATTGACTATTGGAATATTTAATTTCATTAGGTAAAAAGTGATACGAAAACAACCTGAGAAGATAGTCAACATCATACGGAATTCTTACGATGGATAAAACAGCATATAGGACAGCTGATAAACCCGTTGTTAGCCTTTGAGAAGTTAACCTATTTCTGGAGAGGGCAATAACATTGAAGTAAGCACAATAACATGAATTTCATTTTATTTCAGTCAGTTCTCTTCAACTACTTATATTATAGAATATTTCGACAGTAAAACTGAGTTAAAAACTAATATAGCTATACTAGAGAAATCGGTTCAATGTATGTATCATCGGCATGGAATGGTGATTTAAGATATAAATAATTAGAATGAGGAAATATAGAGAACGTTGCAAATATATACGATTCACAAATGAAAATTATAGAACATCAAAACAGCAACCAAAGTATATGAAGCTAAAAAAATCATTTGATTACTCGATGAAGTGGGTAAACATGAGTTAATGGTAGTTAATAATAATCACGATGATAATCTATTCCCATCTAACTAATTTCACTAGTATCTGTGTATTAACTTTTGTGATAATTTGAATATTACATTTTAGGTTGTGAGCAGATACGAACAAAACCGAATAAAATAAATTTTATTTCTATTGTAAAATATTATCTGTAAATGACTAATAGGTTGATTGCATGTATGTTAAACTGTCTTATATGTACAGTTTCTTAGTATGAAATAAAATGATTCAACTTTTACAATCATCTGATCGTAATAAGAACAAACTGAAAGGTATATGCTGACCAGAACCTGAGATTGCATAAATCTATAGAGACATCTGGTTTTACGTGATAAGTCAATTATTAGTCATAATCAACGCAGAACCTTACAAAATACGAGTTAGCAAAAGTTGCTAAACCACACGGCGTATATATATATATATATATATATATTACACTCATCAAACATCTAAAAACATTTGTCAAAATATAAAATCAAATCAGCAGTACATGTTTGTGACTTTTTCATAAAAACAAATTAAATCGATATGAAAGAAATGAAATAGTGACTTGATGAAATTAATAAAATTTCT